ATGAGTAGATCAGAGGCTAAAGTGAGCAGAACTGAGGCTAAAATGAGCAGATCAGATGCTAAAATGAGCAGAACAGGGGCTAAAATGAGCAGAACAGGGGCTAAAATGAGCTGAACAGAGGCTCAAATGAGCTGAACAGAGGTTAAAATGAGCTGAACAGAAGCTAAAATGAGCAGAACAGAGGTTAAAATGAGTTAAACAGGGTAAAATGAGCTGAACAGAAGCTAAAATGAGTTGAACAGAAGCTAAAATGAGTTGAACAGAGGTTAAATGAGTTAAAACAAGCTAAAATGAGCTGAACAGAGGCTCAAATGAGCTGAACAGAAGCTAAAATGAGTTGAACAGAGGTTAAATGAGTTAAACAGAAGGTAAAATGAGCTGAACAGAGGCTCAAATGAGCTGAACAGAAGCTAAAATGAGTTGAACAGAGGTTAAATGAGTTAAACAGAAGGTAAAATGAGCTGAACAGAGGTTAAAATGAGCTGAACAGAAGCTAAAATGAGCAGAACAGAGGTTAAAATGAGTTGAACAGAGGTTAAAATGAGTTAAACAGAGGTTAAAATGAGTTAAACAGAGGGTAAAATGAGTTGAACAGAGGTTAAATGAGTTAAACAGAAGGTAAAATGAGCTGAACAGAGGTTAAAATGAGCTGAACAGAAGCTAAAATGAGCAGAACAGAGGTTAAAATGAGTTGAACAGAGGTTAAAATGAGTTAAACAGAGGTTAAAATGAGTTAAACAGAGGGTAAAATGAGTTAAACAGAGGTTAAAATGAGTTAAACAGAGGGTAAAATGAGTTAAACAGAGGGTAATATGAGTTAAACAGAGGGTAAAATGAGTTAAACAGAGGGTAAAATGAGTTAAACAGAGGGTAAAATGAGTTAAACAGAGGGTAAAATGAGTTAAACAGAGGTTAAAATGAGTTAAACAGAGGGTAAAATGAGTTAAACAGAGGGTAATATGAGTTAAACAGAGGGTAAAATGAGCAGAACATGTTTTGAAATTTAAATACTGTAAATGCAACATATAAACTTTCACGGATGAACGGGTCCAGTAAGTTCCTGGGAAGTACCTGTACTGTACTGTATAAGTACTCGGTGTTTTTCAGTAATTTTACGCCACCAAGTTTTTCCTTTCTGTTCCCTAAGAGAACGAAAACAGTTTCACTTCCCTTGACCATATTTAGCCGAGAAACGTCACTACGCAACCAGCTCCGTCAACGGTTCACGGCTGTCGTAAGGCAACATTCAGGTACTCCAAAAAAGCTCGGAAATCCTAAATTTTATTCATTTGCCGCTATGAAACAAACCGTTCAGGCGATTTTCGTGGCGTCAGTGAACTTTGAGCTCTGCTGTTTTGCTTAGTTTCGTATTTTAAAAGCTAACACAGACTTTATTTTAGTTAAAAACTCACAACAGTGATCCAAAACGGATAATAAATATCCCCAGTAATATTTAAAAAATATAAGAATGATTAATATAAGGAACAGATTTTTCTAAAAACATTTAAAAGCTTTTCTTGGTTTTTTTAGCCAGTCATTACTTATCCTAAAAGTGAATTTTACTCATTTATAGATTTTGTTCAAAGGTAAAACAAATTTAAAGAAATATCCCGATGCATGCGCAATAATCCAGGTAGAAAAAGCAAAAAAAAAAAAAAGTTGAATCTGGTCCTCTGCACATTCAAAACCAGATTAACTTTAGCTACAGTTTATGAAAATGTATCTATTTAACCTAGATGGCTAAATTTAGTCGATTATAAACTCAGGTCTCTTGTAATTGAGTCCCCGAGGCTCAATGGGACTAATCTGTATAAATAAAGGTTGAACGAATAATTATTGTGAAATTTACAGTAAACTGTTCAAATTAATCTTCAAATATGATTATTGTTTATGCAAACAGCTCGAGTTTCAGTTTGGTGAGCAAATCAACTTGCAGATGGCTCAAACGTGCCAGTCGTCCCGCACCTCTTTGAGTCATAATATTTCCCACGATCCGTGAACGCGTCTCCGCTGTAAACCATCGAGTGTTTTCCGAAGCGCCTCCTTCCTGTGTGCGCGAGCGGAGCGGAACCCGGTATTTAAGGCTTAAAGCGCAGTTTCCTCTCAGTCAGCTGTTGACAGAAACTCAAGTTTGTCTCCTTCTTTATTTATTCTCCTGTTTTCCTTTTGTTTTTCGGCACGCACTTGTTGAACATGGGCTTCCTGCTCACCAAAATGATGGCCGTGTTCGGAGACGCAGGTAAGAATCTGCTTCAGTTTCTGTGGCACTTAAAGCTTTTTTATTTATTTTATTGTAACGCAGCTACTTTAAGCCTTAGGGTAACATCATCCAGAATCAAATAATCTCTTTAACGGGAGGGTTTTAATTTAGTTTAGCTTCATTTTGAGGCCCAGGCATGAGAATTGTCTGCTCATCTCTTTGTCTTATCTCTGTGAAGTAATGTTACACAACTCATCATCTGCGGAGTCAGCAGGTTTTTTGAACACTTTGGACTTTCCAACAGAGCACAAAGTCATCATTGTGGGTTTGGACAACGCTGGGAAGACCACCATCCTTTATCAGTTGTAAGTGTTGGAACTTTTTCAGGATTTGATCAAAGACTTGAGCAGTTGTCTCTAATTTTTTTGCGTTTTCTCCCCCAGTTTGACGAAAGAGGCCGTCCACACGTCGCCCACCATCGGCAGCAACGTTGAGGAGATCACAGTCCGAAACACACACTTCATGGTTTGGGACATCGGAGGACAGGAGAGTCTCCGGGCCGACTGGTACTCGTACTACTCCAACACCGAGGTACTTCCCTCCCATCACCGCTGCTCTTTAACTGGACCAAACACAAACTGGTTCTGGGCTCAGAGGTGTCTGACGCGTCTCTTTCAGATCGTCATTCTGGTCGTGGACAGCACGGATCGAGAGAGGCTGACTGTCAGCAAAGACGAGCTGCACCGGATGCTTGCGCATGAGGTGTGAACGTGTTTGCCGTTACCCGACACCAAAAATCTGCCTCCCCACGTGCGCCGTTTCATAAATAGCGCACGGTGTTTGTTACGCTGCTTTCGTACGCCTTTAGTAACTGGGCGCTGCACGGGGAAGACTTTTCCTTGATGTAAAAGTCTTTTGTGATTACGCGAAGCGGCCCGGGCGTCGTGACGCACTCCCAAGTGTGAGTCACTGCGTCATGAATGTGAGGCGAGTGAACTAACCCGTGACGCAACAAAACGAGGAGGTTTCCTTCCATGACCCGTTCTACTGAGACAGCAATTTACTTTGAAGCACCGGAGTTCTTATTTGAGAGTTTCTTGTGGACGTGAGCTTTGTGGATGTAAGAAGTAACACTCGCTCCGTCTGGTTTTTTTTCCCACCTAGGACCTGCAGAACGCAGCCGTTCTCGTTCTGGCCAACAAACAGGACGTGAAGGGCTCCATGACGGCGAAGGAGATCTCCCAGTGCCTGACGCTGGACTCCATCATGACCCACTCGTGGCACGTTCAGGCCTGCTGCGCCCTAACCGGAGAAGGGTGAGCACAAACCCATCGGAAAACAAAAGCTTCACAGCGCGCAGCTTTCTCATCCCGTCTTTCCTTTCTGTTCCCGCAGTCTTCCTGCCAGCCTGGACTGGATGAGATCGAAGGTCGTGGCGAACTGAGACGCCCCCTGAGGGATCAAACTTCATCCAACGGAGCCGAGAGGCCTCGCTGTCGGTGTGATTCAGTGTTTCAGCACACCTCCGGGGTTGTGTTGTTCTTAAAGACTTGTTTCCTGCTTTCCTTATACCTCAGCTAAACCTGCAGCTAAAATGCACTACAAGTAGCCAAAACATCCTACCTGACCAGAAATACCAGATTCCATTTAGCATCGGGACAAGTTCTCGCTGCTTCCAAGAAAATGTCATTTATAAAAATGGCGGTAAGTGTCAAATAACTTGGACGGTTATTTCCTGTCAGAGCGACTTTTTTTTTTTTTTTTTTTTTTTTTTACCAAATCGACCTCTTTTCGTGTTCCACCTTTTCTCGAGACTGTTTGTTTTCCAACAACAATGTTTAAGCTATAACTGAGACAAAACTAAATTCTGTGATCTCGATCTCAGACCCTCTGCACTGCTGGTAAATGTGATTTTGTTGTTTTATGCCAGTGAACAACAGCAGTTTTGTTCTGAAAATGTTTAATTTATATAAATTTATGTATATATATATTTTTAATGAAAGCTTTTTGGTTGTATTTTTGTATATTTCAGCCATTTCCTGAATGAGGAATGGTACTACAGCTGCTAAGGACAACGAGTCCAGTTTAAAGTGTATATATTGTACAATTTTTAAAATAAATATATTTTATTGCAAGTTTTGATCAGTGTGTATTATGAGTGTCACATTCTTTGTTTACAAAAACAAACTGGGCCAATTAAGAGTTTTGTGAGTAAGTTCAAAGTGAAATAAAGAGAATGATGATCATGTAGCGACTCTCACCACTGGCGTCCCACATGGATGTGTCCTGAGCCCACTCTTATTATTCTCTTACTGCTCACGTATGATTACTGTGTATCTCAGATTATAAACCTTGCATTGATGCTGCTGTTTTTGGTTTTATCTTAAACAACAAGAAGTTTAGAGGGAACGTGGAGGAGCTTACTGAATGAATCAAACAACCCCAGCATTAATGCGGCAAAGACAAAAGAGATGATGGTGGACTTCAGGCCCTGCACATGCGACTCTCAACCAGCTAGGATGGAGGTGGATCTAAAGGCCAGAGCCTCATTAGCAGTAATGAGAGAGTTGCTCCGATCTGTTGTGAGCTGAACCGAAAGGCAAATATCTCAGTTTTATTAGTTCATCTATGTTCCAACCCTCACCTAGGGTTCTGATGTGAGGACCATGACTGAAGGAACAAAATCCTGGATACAAGCTGCTGGAATGAGTTTCCTCTGTATGGTGGTCGGGTGAGGAGTCATCCAGTTGGAGCTCAGAGTAAAGATCACTGCTCCTCCACGTCAAAAGATCTCACCTGAGGATGGTTCAGGCATCCGATTAGGATGTTTTCTGGGCGCCTCCCTCACTAATGGTTTGGTATTTCCCACTGTGAGGAGACCCAGGAGAAGAACCAGAACCCAACAGAGGAAATATATATCCTCTCTGGCTTGGGAAGGCTGTCTCGATCCCATCAGGAGGAGCTGAGGGGATGGTCTCTGGGGAAAGAAATGTTTGGGCTTTCCTCCTAAATCTGTTGCACCCACAAACCAAGCACCGATAAGCAGAAAAAATGGATGGAAGTACCAAGTAATGAAGAATGCCTACCTCGTTTTTCACCAGAGGACATTTATATCAACAAACCCAGAACCTCAGTTTAAAATATTGCAACAGGCCTCACACATGCAGGTCATGGACTATTCCCTCCTTTCTTCTCTGTCAGAAGGTCAACAACTCCCTCCGAGTTGTACAATTCATAATTCAGTTCCTCTAAATTATGCTCTATGTTTTTTTTTAATTATTATTTTAGGCATTTATTAATAGATTTAGGGTTATTTAGGCTATTGCAGTCTGCCCCAAGGAGCATATTTTGTTCTCACGCATTTATCCGACACATTGAATGACAAAATTGGTCTTAAAATAAAATGCTGTTTCTCTGCGACACAACAACAAACTCATTTTAGCTCCTAACGCTGCCGTAAAAACAACAGAGTTTAAAAACAAATATTTAAATGATCAAACATTTAAATGAAAAAGAAAAAAATAAAACACCAGGGGGCATCCGGATTTGAACCGGAGACCTCTTGATCTGCAGTCAAATGCTCTACCACTGAGCTATACCCCCGCACGGCTCTGCTGAAGGTGAGGACCCTTTTTGTAGATTTATCAAACAAACGCGGACAATTTAGTTTTAGATATAGAATTAATATCTGGTATTATTTGAGAAAGACTTAAATCTGACAACGATCGTTTCTATAAATGATTATTTCGGAAATCCGATATCAATTTGTCCTGTAGGTGGCAGTATGGGTCTATTTTCTATGGTGAACTCTGCTCAACACGCAGCCTATGCTAGGCTAAGCTAAGCTAGGCTAAGCTAGGCTAGGCTAGGCTAAGCTAAGATAAACAAAGCTAATCTATATAATTCCCTAAAACTTTTCTTGTGTTAAAGAGAAAATTTGGCAAACGAACAAGAGCTAACTTCTATTTTATTTCAGCAGCACAACATATATCAGTGACATCATAATATAAATTTATTTTCAGTGTTAATTTCAACTTAGTTTAGGTTCCCTTGGCCAGATCTTCAGCTATTTTGAATTATTTTATTACAAAAAAAAAGCACATCACAGCATCTAACTGTAACACTTTGCTATTTTGCTCCTTGCTTCTTTATGGAAATGTCAGGGATTTAACATAATGCCAATAAAGTATACTTATTTGAAATGCCAGGGCAACAAATATTTGATATTCTTCATATGTGAAGACTCTGAAAGTCTTCTAATCTAAGTAAAGTAAAAACTACAGACCTGCTGAATGCAGATTTTACTGACCTCTTGTGGCTCAAATGACATAAAATCTATAAAATTGTGACAGTAAAACTCGAATATAACTTAACTGTGCATATTCTTTATGCAATTAAATGTTTGTTTGTTTGTATTCATGATCAACGCTGACATAAAACTGCTAACCTTCTGTTGCAGCTTATCAAGGAAACATTTGGGAAACAGACCAACAGGAAATTCCCTACATGAATAATTGCTCAGCTTTGACATTTGCATTCCTTGAACTGCAAAAATCACTTACAGAATAAAACGTGGGTTGTTGACTCGGGTTCCCATCACTTGCGTGTAAAATAATCCAGAATAAACTGTGTTTTTGTGTAGCTCACAAGGATCCAAACACATCGACTTTTAAATGGCAGAACATTTACATTATTTATCCAAAAGCTGGTTTCTCTCTGGTAATTGCAGATTTAATTCAAGCTTCTTCTTCTTTTTCTTGCGTCAGAGCAAGAAACAAATCCGCTTTACTGAATAAACACAAAATTTAGCTCAATATCTATAAGACTGACTGAGTTACAGCCAATATGGTGTCAACGAGTCATTTTAAGTTGCTTTGCCTCTAAAAGCTAATCGTTCTAAATGTTCATCCAAACAACGTTTCCTGAAAGTTTCAGTGGTTCACGAGATATTTTACCAACAATGATTTCTAATTTTAATTAAACATCTTGCGCAGTTAGCAGCACTTATATGTTGTGAACAACTCTCAGCTACTACCACACCATGTTTCCAAGTCATATCTGTAAAACTGACTGAGCTACAGCCTTTTTTATGTCGGCTAATGTTGATGAGCTGTGGTGGCCATCTTGACTTGGATCAACTCCAAAACTTAACCAGCTGTAAAAGTTTATCTAATTGTTATTTCCCAAAAGTTTCATTAAAATCCCACCAGTGATTCATGAGATATTTTGCTAACAGGCAGACAAAGTGAACTCGGAGTAATAATGGTCAATTGTGAAGACGTCTTGCGCAATCGGTTAGCGCTCTCAGTATGTGTTGGGGATGACTCTCAGCTACTACCACACCAAATTTTAGGCCCATATCTGTAAAGCTAGCAGAGTTACAGCACGTTCCGTGGATTCAGTCAGTTGGGTGTGGCAGCCATCTTGAATTGGGTTGACTCTAAACACTAATCACTTGTCAGTGATAAGAGGAGTAAGCCTTCCCAGCTGATCCGTTTGTCTTTGTCATCACCATGACAACCAGGACCGGAGGAGGAGAGAGGGGTTAGAAACTGGGTGGTGTGAGGCAGAAAGACAACGCCGGGTGGAAAGGAGGAGGAAGTTTGTTTTTGCAGAGAGGAGAGGAAACAAGACTGGAGACTATAATCTTGTTGTGTGTTTTTGCAGGTTAACATGCTCCTCGACTCGTTCCTGTTTCTTCTCTGTTTCTCTCAGACTGTTCAGCATCAAACAGGTGAGTCCAGTGTATTTGTATTTTTAGTCCATATTTTTATTATTTAAGTGCTTTTGTTCTTTGGTTCTTCTCTGATATGTGTTACAGATCTTTCAAGCTGTTTCTTGACTTTTTAAACACTTTCACAGTTTATTTAAATCCTTTCCCCCTCCCACACCTGTTTCCCTTTAGATCACAACGTCAATGAATAAATAACGCATTGGACATTTTTCATGCAGACACCGTTTATTCTATTTTAACACGCTTTAAACCACAGGATCACAGGCACGCCATGCCTCTTCTGTTTAAATGAACTGCTTTACAATAAAAGTTGCACAATAAAAATAAAAAAGCCACAATTATGCAGCCCACAAAGAGCCAGTTTAAAATTAGAGCTGCTTTTCTACAGATTGGGCTGCATTTTTAGTTTCAGGAAAAAAGATGGTTTGTTACTGAATTCTGCTTCTCTTTAATGAGAGGTTTTTGTTTTGTGTCAGGGAGGCTTACAGAATCAGGATAAGTGGATTTTTAAATATATTTTCTGTGGTTTAAGTGAAAAACAAGCTGTCAGTGATGGGGACTAATGATAACTGTTTGCTGCAGAACAAGCTGAGGAGGAGGAGGTGGGTCGGCTCTGACCCAGCATCATTCCTTTTCACTTATCAGCTTATCAGCTTTGGCACTCGACGCATAAACAGTCCAGTTTTATGAAAAACGACTTGAGTCCTGCGAGAGTCGCTGACATCATCTGAACCAGACTGTGAAAACAAAAAGAGCTGAAAATGAGAGGTTTTCTTTCTAACGGCCTCAGATTTGATCCTTTTTCCCTCGCTGAGTAATTTGTTCATCTGTCTGGTTAGATTTAAACGAATGTGAGATTAAATCACTGTTAGTGGATTAAATCCAGCATCAGTTGTTTCGATGTCTGAATGCTGAGTCAGCTATTCGTACAATTGTTGCCTTCTAAACGCCTTGTGCTGTTTTTAATATGTCAAAACAATCGGCTCATTTACGAGATGGATGCTGTGACTTTATAGTTTTTCTGTAACTTTTA